AGCATAAACTGCTTCAAATAATTGAATATAATACTTAGTCCATGATTTGTAGTATCCCGTTCTGCATATCGTGTAAATGTGAGATTTTGTATTTCAGGGGATACAGGTCTTATACATGTATTTTACATTAATCTGTACACATATAAGTGGCTGGCTAACGAAATAGGCAATGTAGCAGTAATGTATATTTTTATATGTAGCGGTTATGTAATGTTTTTTGTAGTGGTACAATGTAATGACTATGTACATGTAGCGGTAATGAAAATTCCTTGTAAAATATTTTGGATTTACTTCAGTTACAGCTTGGTTGGGTACTCTCAAAAAGATCCACAATATGGCGTTAAGTCCATCCATTTTTGAAGTCTATACTCTTTGTAAAGAAGGTTTCAAATAAGTTTCAATTTTTTTATTTTCTCAACGAATTCTAGCAACACAACCACTGTACATATAGTCCTCTTGGGCCTGAAATTGAAAACAATATATAGAACATATTGCTTATGTACACTGCCATTTTGAAAGCAAGATATATAATTCGGCACAACGGGCTTAGTACAGATATTTTATATGAGAGTAGAAAATAGGGCTCAAAGGAATGTTTGAAATATATAGCTTTTGTATGTACAGTTGAGGTGGGAATTTGGACAAATTAATTAAGGACTGGGCGCTGACTTTTTGAGCGCAATAATTTTTTTTCTATAGCTGGTTCTGTCTGTAGCTGTCCGGTCATCCATCCCAATTTTTAGACCAGTGAGCTGCAACTCGGTCAATATTAATGTTAAATGTTTCAATGTTAAATTTTATTGTAAACTCTCAAATGTATCGAGATATCTTGCGGAAACGAAAGTGTTAAAGACAGACGGGCGGACGGAATAAGGAGGAATAGATCAACGAACACACGCAAAGAAAAGAGCAAGGAAGAGATGGACTGAAATGGATAGAAGTTAAAACACGAAATGCATCTCATCTAATATATCTCTTCTTTCTGCTTTATATAATACTTATTTACCCTGCAGACATCTGTGTAACGGATGATATTAACATTCAACACAACTACACACAAATAAAGCAATTGCAATTTAACTTTATAAACAGCATATAAGGTTATTTGAGTTCAAATTTTTTATCTAAATTAACGTACATAACACATTACATGTGTATTTACACTATTATCTTAGAAATACACCACATATATGGCTTTAATGGAAAAATGGGGGGGGTTAAAACATTACGACCAAGTTTCCAGGATAATCTAACAGCACTGAAAAGTTTACTGAAAATTGAAATGTATTAATTGAATACTAAAGTATATATAAATTTATATATTCTCTGTTAAAGATGAGTAGTATAAGGGGTCTAGCCGGCCGGGTCAACTGAGTGCACTTTTTATGCAAATGAGGTCAAAAATGGTGGATTCTGATTGGTTGAGGGGAATAGGGTGGTCAATTGAGTGCAGTCCTAACCCTAACCCCTAACCCTAACTAACCCTAACCCCCCTAGACCCTAACTAACCCTATCCCCCTTAGCCCTAACTAACCCTTACCCCTTTTTAACCCTAACCTATCCTATCCCCTAAATACGGGGTTGTTTACATTGTGTTTACATTGGTACGTGGGTACTACGTTTTGTTTATGCTAACTATACAGGTAAATACTTTGGGGCCGTGTGCAAAACATTTCAAGAATGTCATTATGACTTCACGCTTCACAGTCTAGACAGCCCTATAACCAGTTCAAACTGGATTTTTTTTTACTGAAAACAATAACAACCTGGATTTTTCACTGAAAACAATAACAAATAACACACACAAGACAGATTATAACAAGAATCAATACGTTTTACCTGCGTTTTTATACCTGTTTGCATCACCTATAAAGAACCGTGTGCAAAAAATTAGGGTCGTGTGCAAAAGAAATATACCTTTTACCTGTGTTTCCTTATATTCCTCTTGCATCATCTATAAAGTGCCGTGTGAAAAAGTACGATAAAACTTACCTATGCATTGTGACGTCATCCATATCAGCGAGCTACCCTATGCAATGTGACGTCATACACTTTTAAAAATGACGTCATACACTTGTAAAATTAAAGTTTTATTTTCACTTTTGTTTCTAAGAAGTGAACTTACATTTTCAGAAAATATAGGACTATCTTTTGTTTTTCCTCTCTTTTACTATGATGATTTTCCTGCTGTGAAGCTTTTCTTGTTTAAAGGTCAATTTCTCTATGACAACGGAAGTAATCATCATGATGGATTCTTACCATGTGCATGTTTAGACCACTTTCATTTTTGAAATCTTCTTTCTGACAGACATATTCTACAGGTAAGTTTGTCTTTTTTTGTTTACATTTCTCATGAAGGTCATCTTTGCATTTAACCATGGTTTATATGTAAAGTTCTATTTTGAATATATGCTGTATTTATCCTCATTTCATGTGATTTACAGTTGTATAACCTATATGTAACTCAGAGTACATTTAATATTTCTATGATGGGTCATTCTATGATTGAATTTAAATCAGAAAAGTATTCACTAAATTTTGGTAAAATACATGGTATCTTTTACATTTCTGTCCCTCTTGTCTGTAAATTATTGCTTTACTTACATTATAAAATGAGGTTAATTTGTGTATCACTGAATTGTATGATTTTTTCAGGATCAGCTGAGAATTTGTAATTTCACTGGATTATTTAATGGATAGGCTTATTGGGCATATAGTTGGACATCTCTGGTACGTTTGTCTTGTTTTACTTGTTTACATTTCCTATGATGGTCATCTTTGCATTTAACCATGATTTATATGTAAAGTTCTATTTTGAGTGTAAATGCTGTATTCTCATTTCATATGATTTACAGTTGTATAACCTGCATGTAACTCAGAGTGCATTTAATATATTCTATGATTGAATTTAAATCAGAAAAATATTCACTAAATTTTGGTAAAATACATGGTGTCTTTTACATTTCTGTCCCTTTTGTCTGTAAATTATTGCTTTACTTACATTGTAAAATGAGGTTTATTGTGTATCACTGAATTGTATGTTTTTTTTCAGGATCAGCTGAGATGTTATTTCACTGGATTATTTAATGGATAGACTTATTGGGCATATATTTGGATATCTCTGGTAAGTTTGTTTTGTTTTTTAATTATTTACATTTCCTATGAAGGTCATCTTTGCATTTAAGCATGATTATATGGTTAATTTAATTACTGTGTAATACTTATGTGATCTGATATCTCTAACTTACATTCATATAAGCACACCCTTATTTAACCTAAAATATATTAACACATGATTAAGGGATCTTCAGAATATTAATAAGTCTTATTGTATAAATTATGATATAATTTCATAATTCATTATGTCGGTCACCCTTGGAATTCAGACTTACTAAATGTTGATCAAAGAGATATTAGGATTGTTATAACAGAAAAGTAAAAATCTACAAAAGATTAATCCTAATAGTCATTTACTTTTTGTTTTGATTCTAAATTTGTGGGATATATGACATACATATATTTTCATTTTCACTTTTGTTTCTTGGTAACGAGCTTTTCCAAAAATTAAGGACTATACATGTTCTACTGTGATGATGCTAAAAAAGATGTATTTTTCTGTATGCAGTACTGACAGGTATTAATCAAAATTGAATCTGTTGTTAAGAAAAAGTCTATTAGTGTCTAAATAAATAATTTGAGAATCATTTTATTTGTGATATTAATACAGTAATTGTGCTTTTTTTTTACTATCTTAAGATAACATGATGAATTTTTCTTAATCTGGAGTTAATGTTAAAAACAGTTTTTTGAGATGAAAAACAAATATTTTCATGATCTTTTATTTTTTGGCATTGTACATGTTATATTTAAACATGCATTGTTTAATGCAGTACTCTGTCATATTAACAAAATGGTTTTATTTTTACAGTCCTCAACATGGAAAATATAATCCACTCTCTATGAAGTTCAGCCTGTCTTCTCTTCCTTTGGAAATACACACTTAGTCAACCAACAAAGAAACGCACAAACTTGAAGGTAAAGTTTCAATGAGATACAGTTGTAATATTTATTTATTTATTCATTTTACATATGCACGTTTATAGTTTTGAATTGATAAGTAAATGATATATGATTTTTTAAAAATCATGAGGGTTGATTGCCATGGTCATGTTTAGACTACATTGATATCCTTTAGAAGAAAAAGAAAAGAAATAAATATATACAAAAAATGCATGATCAATTTTTAAAACTAAAATGTATGAAGTTTTTCTTTGCCAAATGATAGTTAACAGGTGAAGATAGCAAATCTAAAGAATAAGTTAAATATGGTTAATTTGTTACCCCCCCCCCCCCAGCTTCCTAAATAGCCTAGTTGGTAAAGAGTTTAACTTTTATCTCTAAGTGCTAATGAATTCTCAATTTTTCATTTAATATTGACATTATGTTACATGCAAAGAATATTATAATGTACCCCCACAGGATGAACAGTGAATAAACCTCAATAACCCTCTTGACTATGTATAAAAAATATAACCTTATAATTGATGTAAGATGATCTGATTGTGTGGAATTAAAATTCCCTGGTGTTTCTACTACCCAAGATCTTCTTATGAGTGCATAGGGACTGCTTTAAACCTTCTCCTGTTTATAAAAATAATACCTTGGAGCATGATACTTTATTCATTTATGGTACTTTCAATATCATTTCTATGAGTTTGTGTTCTTTCTTTTTAATAATGTAGTAATTAATTCAAGTGTTATATCTCCTTTAAATTCATTAATATGTATGCTTCCAAAATCTTAGATCTGTCTGTATAGTTTCTTCAGCTCTTTGAACACAAATACTCTGATTCCAACTTTTGAGGTAAACATGATAGAGACATCATAGATGATTATCAGAGTGTATATATCACAATCTTGACCATAAGGTCATGGTAATAAATGGTTTTATTATACCTCATTATAGATATTCTAAACAACGCGTTATCTGATTGGTTCTAGGTTATCACGTGAGCGGGCCGTAAAACTTCATATTTCCCGTCGTCGGCACGCTTTTCATCATATTCCACCCCTTCGGAGGCCTCTTGCGTTTTACCGTAAGAGTTATCGTTCATTGAACGAAAACTCCCGAGTAAGCAGACGTCACAAAATGGCTGAAAGTAAGAGATTCCACTTACCGACAGGGGATGAAATCAGCGATTTATTGTCTTTGAAAGATTCAGAGAATACAAAAAAGTCAACACTGTTGTCGATTAAATGCCTTAGAGATTTTATAGCAGCAACGGCAATGGAAATCGAAATTGAAAGCTGTCCGAAAGAAGTATTAGATGATGTTTTGAAAAAGTTTTACGTTGGAGCCAGAAAAACAAATGGAGAAAGATTCAAAAAGACAGCATTACAAAACATAAGGTATGGGATTAAGCGATACATGAAAGATAAACGGGGCTGTGACATACTTTCTGACCCAGAATTCTGTGGGAGCAATGAAGTTTTTAAAGCCGAAGCGACGGACCTGAAAAGTAGGGGTCTTGAAAACATTGAACACCATCCTCCCATTTCAGAAAATGATCTGAGACAATTGTACAGCGGAAGTACCCACGTTTTTGACACGACTACACCCTATGGACTACAGAAGAAAGTATGGTTCGAGATTACCTTATTTCTTTGCAGAAGAGGGCGTGAGAACATTCGTTTTATGACAAAAGATACTTTTAAAATTATGAAGGATGACACCGGGAGACAGTCTGTTAACCAACACATTGATGAACTGGACAAAAATCATCGGGCCGACACCCAGGGGAGTGTCACAGAGGGAAGAATGTATGAAATACCAGGTATAGTACACATATATTACTGTGCCAAATATCGAATTAATATTGCATGTCAAATATTGTTTTACGTAAAAAATGAAAATTGTTATGTTTTTGTTTTTTGAAAAATCAATTTTATTTCACAGGAAACAGCAACTGCCCTGTGGTGTCCTTTAAGAAATATATTGAGAAATTTAGTCCAGACAGAAATGACCTGTGGCAAAGACCCAGGGATACCTTTAACCAGGACGATGATGTGTGGTACATGAATTCTCCTGTGGGAAAAAATACTCTCTCTCAATTTATGATGGAAATCTCCAAGGTAGGAAAACTTTCTCGGGAATACAGAAATCATTCAGTTCGCGCTACAAGCATAACAGTGATGGATATCGGTGGCATTAGTGGGCGCCACATCATGAAGGTATCGGGCCACAAGTCCAAAGCTTCACTAAAGTCTTATTCTCATTTTGTAAGTGATAAGAAGAAAAGAGAAATCTCTGACACACTAAGTTCTGCCTTGGGCCACAAAATGGTTTCGGAAACTCCACAATTGCAAGATTTAGGAGACCTTTCTGATGTGTTCAAAGATGACTTTGAGTTGGAGCCTGTTAATGTGACCCATTCGAAAGATATCCAGAACATCCTAAGTGAAATCAGTCAAAACAACATGAACACACAGAACAAAGTAGATGTTTCTAATTCTTCTGGAGGATTTCTAAATTTTAGGCCAACTTTTTCAGACAGATGCAACGTCACAATTAACATTAATTTTCAAAAATAAATGCATTGTGAAAAGTGTTACTGTTAGGGCTCAGTTAGAAGTTATTTGTTTTTCCATGTTTTATAACTTGAATTAAATACAGTGTATCTTTGTTATTTATTTATCTTCAACATGTTAAATTTGAGAATATTTGCTTTACATTTTTTTCTTTAAGATAAATATCTTGTTATTTGTTATTTATATTTATTTTTTATGACATTGTTAAACTTGTGTTACTTGTTATTCATGATTTGTTATTGCTACAATATCTGTGATAATATGACAGAACTTATTACTCATGTTTATTTTTGTTATTTTGTTGTTATATGAATGAAATTACTATACAATAAATATTAAAACTTTTTTTGTTATTATAATTATCTTGAATCTCCATTTTATATCATTGTAAGATAAATTAATTTTTTACTGTCACTCTTAAAGAAGAAACAAAAACATATGAGTATTGAAGTTTATTGTTGATTCGGTATAATAAACAATTTATGGCATGAATGGTCGGGAGATATGAAGATTTCTTCATCCATGAAAAATCATATTCCCCTCGGGCGTTGCCCTCGGGGAATATGATTTTTCATGGATGAAGAAATCTTCATATCTCCCTCACTATCATGCAATAAATGTATAATATTCTTCATTGGCTTCTTCTGCAATCAAGGGTCTTTCGATGTAATCTCTGACAACATTAGGATCACCCTTTTTTGGACATAATTGGTTATATTCTTCTTGAGAAATGATCTCAATAGTGCCATCTTTTTTTTTATTTTAACTGGTATACCTCTGTCTACATCTTTTTCTGAAAGAATTCTCTCTCCAAACTGAATTTTACTAATTCCTTTACTCTTTTCTTTACTAGAGGTGTTACCCATGGTTAATATGAAAAGTCAAAATCTTATGTTACAACTTGTATTTATACCCTTTTTGTCTATATTTAGAATTCTATCAAGCTTATATTACATTACAATTTTTTTTTTCAACTAAGACATTATTTTTTTTTATTTTTCAGGATTCTCTAGTGAGGGCTTATGGAAATGATCTATGTCTACTCTTAGAATGGTGAAAGACTATCAGATTATGCAAAGACTAACAGAATATCCTCTCTTGGAACACTGAAACAAGAAAACCAAACTTAAGAGGATGGAGGATTTAAGAAGCACATAGATAAATATGATTTCCATCTAATTTAACCAGTACGATTATAGACTGTGGTTTACAGGATGACAAAGAAAGGACCCAGGATTGTATCTTTTTTTACTGTCAGACACTGACTATTTATAAAGTGTAATCATTTATCAAACTGAGATCTAGTCAAATTAAGTATTGAAAATATGATTTTCTGATAGCATGAGCTCTTTAAAACGTAATTCTCACTGACCTCAAAGTATCTGAATGTGACTTTTAATTTTACCAATTCATATTGAAGACTTTTGTTATGTATGAGAAGTATACATTTAAACCTTTTATTTTTCATTTTATTTTTACAACCCCCTAGAATTTACACAGATATCCAGATGTTGGATTTAATGTTATTATTTAACTTTCCTGGAATTGTAAATATATTTTGTTTGTGTATGTATCATGTTTAATTTTGAATTTAAATTGGGTCTCAATAAGACCCCTAATAAAGATGCAAGTGCCCCATAATCTGTGGTTTAATAATATCTTGAATATCTTTATCATACCATATTGTACATACTAATTACATATAGAATGGTTATATGAATACACTTTGTTGTTTAGGACACTTTGTCAAGGTCAAAGCATAAGATTATTGAGATGACTTCTTTGACATTAATTTGTAACTTAAAAACTTCACACCATAAGTACACAAATGAAGCATGAATAAGAGATTTCAATACATTTATTTTTGGATCATTTTCTCCTGGGTAAAGTTAGTTACTGAGATAACTGATGTGAGTTTTGATATGCAATATCTTCAAAATTGTGTGATAACTTATAGACTTTATAAAAATTAGGTGTAAATTCTTAGGAAAGAATTAAAATATTAATCAAATGTACAATGTCCAAGGGTGTTTATTTAAATATTATTATGTAATATCTTGGGTTTCTGTTTATTTATCATATTCAAATTGAAGACAGTTGTTATGTCTGGTTTTTATACATTGGATCCTTTATTTTTAATTTCTACAACCCCCTAAAAATGACACAGATATTCAGAAGCTAGCTTTGGTGTATTTTTTTACTTTCCTGGAACTGTAAATACATTTTGTTTGTGTTTGTCCTATTTTGAATTTAATAGGTCTCAATAAGACCCCTCCCCCATAAAGATGCAAGTGTCCTATAATCTGTGATAATATGTTGAATATTTTTATCATTCCATAAATTTATTCTTACTACACATATAGTGTTTGGAGTAATGCACTTAGTTGTATAGCACAATATTCAAGGTCAAAGCATGAGATTATTGAGATAAATACCTTTGTCAATAATTTGTAACCTTCAAACTTTACATCTTAAGTGAAGAATGGATAGGAGATTTTCTATAGATTTTTGGATCATTTTCCTACAGGATAATATTACTGACTTGAAACATTTCATGGTGGTTTACATACCTGCAGTCATAAATAGATACATGTAGGCATGGGGTAGACTCCTATAGATTTTAAGATCCTCATTCAAAAGTATAGAAAGTTTTTAAGTTTGAAAGATTAAATGTCAGCATATCATTTGCTTGTGAATTTAAAATAAATTCAAACATATACATCTTTAGATGATAACTAGTTATTTCAATTCCTGGACTTTTTATCTTGATATTTTCCTTTATTATCTGTAAAATTTAATGATTGTTTTTTTAGTTTAGTTGAACTAGTTTCTTATTAGCATGTGAAAATGGCATCATCCAAATAAGTTCATCTACATTTCATATGTAAGAGAGAATTTTTCATCACAGGGAGAGAAAGAGATTGTCTTGTATAATATAATGCATTGGTACACAAAAATATCTTTCAATTTTTAACATGTTTCATTTCTGTTACATGGAATGATAAGTTCTGTTGATTTCCTACCAAAGACATACTAGTACAGTAATAAATGTATATGATGTTTCAAAAAAGCATGTGGAAACCTGATGACTTTATCATTTCTGATTAAAAATCAAATTATGAGTTTCATCTCTTTTACATTATTAAAAAAATTTTAAGTAGAGCATACACCAGAAACTCTTAGAATGATCTCTACTGTTCACAAGAAAATGAAGTTAAAAATGTTTTTACTACAAAGGGGTTAATTTATATATTTATTTTATAAGTACAATCAGTCTATACATTTAAGGTATTTCTGTATGAAATAACCTTACATTTGAGTATTTTAAGACAATTGTAAACATTTTTTAACCAGTATTAAAAAATGAGTAGATTCACTGTCAGCATGTTATTTCTTGTAAAATAAAAAGAAAACAAGCAATTTTATATGAGTCATTTTTTTTAATGTAAATAAGAACAATTGGAAGTTGGGAATATTTCACAAAGTTGATTGAGCATAATTCTCACTAGGACAGTTAGAGTATTATGATTTTACCCTTTAAGAAACCATTTCACATTTCAATATACAAATCATGTTTAGTCATGCAGTATATAGTTTTCATTTGCCAAAAAGTAAATGGTATCTGTATTCAGGGTCAATCCAAAGGAATGAAAACAATGTTTCTTTTTTATGTATCAAACTTTAAGGTTTTGTTACAATAATTTCACTGTGTTCATTTTCTGATTTCTTTCTATGTGTGGATAACTCTAACCTTGGCAATAAAAATACAGGAAATTAATCAATTATGTCAAATGATGAAGGTGTACTAACTGTCCGAAAGAAGTATTAGATGATGTTTTGAAAAAGTTTTACGTTGGAGCCAGAAAAACAAATGGAGAAAGATTCAAAAAGACAGCATTACAAAACATAAGGTATGGGATTAAGCGATACATGAAAGATAAACGGGGCTGTGACATAGTTTCTTACCCAGAATTCTGTGGGAGCAATGAAGTTTTTAAAGCCGAAGCGACGGACCTGAAAAGTAGGGGTCTTGAAAACATTGAACACCATCCTCCCATTTCAGTAAATGATCTGAGACAATTGTACAGCGGAAGTACCCACGTTTTTGACACGACTACACCCTATGGACTATTTCTAACTGTCCTAGTGAGAATTATGCTCAATCAACTTTGTGAAATATTCCCAACTTCCAAATGGTTCTTATTTACATTAAAAAAAATGACTCATATAAAATTGTTTGTTTTCTTTTTATTTTACAAGAAATAACATGCTGACAGTGAATCTAATCATTTTTTAAAACTGGTTAAATTAATGTTTACAATTGTCTTAAAATACTCAAATGTAAGGTTATTTCATACAGAAATACCTTAAATGTATAGACTGATTGTACTTATAAAATAAATATATAAATTAACCCCTTCGTAGTAAAAACATTTTTAACCTCATTTTCTTGCCTATTCTCTCATACATTTTCTAATTTGAGTATTCTCAAATTATTGATTACATAAGCAACAAATTTAAGACAAAACCACAATATATGCTGAATACCCTGAAATGAAAATATGCAAGATGTGTAACACATCATGTACAACTTTAAAGTCTACAAGATTTTAAGCTAACCCTATATACAATAAGACTACTTTTTTTTTTCAAAAATATAAAAAAAAATCTCCACAAAAAAAAAGTATTTATGCAAAAGATGAATGTTATGCTACACTTTTAAAATACATTTTACATGAATCACATAAAGAACATAACAAATCTTTTCTTTGTGGTTGTTTTCCTTTGGAACATCTGTGAACAGATATTCTGTGTTTTGTCTTTTTGATACATAAAAAAGCGTCCAAAATCATTTGGAATTGTTATGTACTGTTAAACCCTGATGCTCAGATAGAACAGTAGAGATCATTTTAAGAGTTTCTGGTGTATGCTCTACTTAGAATTTTTTTTAATAATGTAACAGAGATGAAATTCATAATTTGATTTTTAATCAGAAATGATAAAGTCATCAGGTTTCCACATGCTTTTCTGACACATCATATACATTTATTACTGTACTAGTATGTCTTTGGTAGGAAATCAACAGAACTTATCATTCCATGTAACAAAAATGAAACATGTTAAAAATTGAAAGATATTTTTGTGTACCAATGCATTATATTATACAAGACAATCTCTTTCTTTCCCTGTGATGAAAAATTCTCTCTTACATATAAAATGTAGATGAACTTATTTGGATGATGCCATTTTCACATGCTAATAAGAAACTAGTTCAACTAAACTAAAAAGACAATCATTAAATTTTACAGACAATAAAGGAAAATATCAAGATAGAAAGTCCAGGAATTGAAATAACTAGTTATCATCTAAAGATGTATATGTTTGAATTTATTTTAAATTCACAAGCAAATGATATGCTGACATTTAATCTTTCAAACTTAAAAACTTTCTATACTTTTGAATGAGGATCTTAAAATCTGTAGGAGTCTACC